AAATAGTATAATAAATTATCATAAGCGAAGATTTAAGTCGAGTTTACACAAATCGGATGAAGGGTTTGGCGAATTATGAACACGAAAACTTCCAGGCCAAATAATTGGCTCTTCAAGTGCCAAGGGTGGCCATGTTGTCCCAAATCCAAACCCTGTGTTGGCATGAGGAAATCTTGCAACCATGGTTGGGGATTCTGTGTTGGGTTTGTGGACAAGTGAATGAGGTTGAACACCCAATGATTTAACAGGAAGAGAATTGAAAGGAAAGCCTGTTGATGTCATCATCATTCTATGTGAATGGAATCTTTTAAAAGCTCCTCTTTCTCTCTTGTGTGCATTCTGATGACCACCTAAGGCTTGTGAACTGTAAAACTTCCTCAAGCAGAAGTTGCATGAAAAGATCTTGCCTCTGCTGCTTCCAGCTTTTGATTGAGGGTCATTATCTCCTCCAGCTGTAGTGAGAGGCTCAGGCTCATCCTTGTTTAGGCCTAAACTTAGCAATTCGCCTATATTTTGATGGTCGATTCTACTTTCTTCTTTGTCCTTTGTTTCTGATTCAGTTTGATTGTTGCATGATATCTTTTCAGCTTCTTCCTCCCTCTGGAAAGTCATAGTAACATTCACACAACCTCAGCTCAAATGGAAAATGGGAAAGAGGGTTCAAACAAGTGGTGGGGCTTCTCTTAAAAAGGTGAAAGAAATCAGTGAGGAATTTAATTGACAGAAAGAGAGGTGCTATGAAAGAAAGGAAATGCAACTAGACATTATTTAAATTAACCAGAATTCTCTGTGGTGTTCCCACGTAGAGAGTGATGCTGCAACATTTAAGAGGGAAATGCTTATGTGAAGTAATTATATAGCATCAGTCTTGTCAAGCTTAGGATTCCTTACTCTCCCTTTTTAACTTTTTTTTAGACATCTTTAATGGCATCAACTGCACGATTCGTTTTGCTGGATGGTCAATAACTGAGGCATTACTCGCTATATATTCACCAGAAAACACCAGCATAACTAACAATAATGCCATAGACTTGTTATCAATCTAGTGATGTGCCATGTTCTCAACATATTTGCACTTGCATGTACTGTGCTACTGTTAACAGATTTACTTACAAATCATAAAGTACTTAAATTCCAATTAAGGTAGAAAAACTGCATCAAGAGATCACCTAACTTTCATTATACTAACACAATATGGTCCCAAGAATCGCATGCCTTTATCCTATTTAGCCCATACCAGAGTGTTCAATCTTCCATGCAAGACTCTGCAAATTATGGACCACTCATTCCATATGCCTTTACAGTATTGGGCATGCAAAGGTTAGGTTCACTTATTTTATGCCACTGTGCTACATTTAGTACAGTTGATTCTGTTTGCTTTCCCCTCAAAGTCCATGGAAAAACATGCTTCTCTACATATTTTATCAGAACTTGACCTTCTTGGCAGTGGAGGCATAACAGTAACTGATTGTAAATTTCCCAGTTTTTGTAAAGCCTAAGAAGTTTTGTGTCCAGGGGTGTACACAGTTTGGCTTTTGGGTTGATTATTCTACATAAAAAATAATGATAAAAAAAAAGGATTCATATCCAATGCAAACTAAAAGTACTGGAGCAAGTAGAGCTGCTAGTTAAACTCTAAATTATATGAAATTATTTGAGGGGGCCCAGGTGAATGTCAATAATGGTGATAATAAAGGAGTTATATCGATGTGGTGTGTCTTCATGTAATGGGCAATTTATATGTACAGTAGAAGAAGTGCATTGTGAACCACTTGTGATTATTCTTAGAATCTTTTCTGTACAAATAATACTTCAATTTACAAAAGCTCAATTTCCCCACAGCCCACAGAAGGTGTGACGAAAGCAACTTTGATGCTGAAGCTTCTTCTTAGAGATAAAATAATCGTGGTATTGGAATGATGAGTCAGAGGAAGGAACACTAGACTTGTCTTAATCAGTTTAGTTTCATATACAAAAGTGAAGAATGAATAAAATAACTGAAAATTCAGTAAATATATAAAATTCAGTGAAATCTAGATATGCCTAGCTAAATAAATAAATAATTTGGAATTTCAGGATTGCGTGATATGATTAAAAAAACGAAGATTAGGTACCAAATAATTGAATAACAGATAGATATACTGCAAGTTGTGGGTCTGCGAACTACCCTGTTTTGGGTTCAAGAAACAGCCCCAGTTTGATTGTGCACTTTACTTCTCGGTGTTTCTATGGCCGACAATATGGAACCATCTTCTCTAGAAAATTAGTGGCAGCAATCAACTTAGACCGAGAAATTTCATACTTGCCTTAGCACATATTCAGCCACAAAAGTAGAAGAAAATATTCTCACATCCTGTGGACATATAAACAGACATGAACTTTTTACCATATATATATATATATTGAAGTGAAGGGTAATTCTCTGGTTTAAAAACAAAGGCACTATATGAAGCTCAAACTCAATATTCATAAAACAAAGTCACCGTCTTATCTGGGTATCAAGTTAAAGCATTTGTTCATAAAGTTCGTGTCGGGCAACAAGTCCGGATGCCATGCCACCACCGATTCCAGAAAGGAAAAGTTACGTGCCTTTACCCGCCAAAGAAAGTTAAAAGTTAATATAAGATAAACAACTTGGCCGATCACTATTCTCTACTTAAATGCCTCCTAAAGATAGTATTAGTACCAAGAATCAAAAAAAGACAAAAGTAGGATTGCATCCAGATTATTGTGACGTATTCAACATGTAATGTGGGAATCAGAAGCAAGATTGCAACTCAATTTTCTTGTCATCCTTGAGTATCTGGTTCCAGTATCAAATTGAACATATACAAATGCCTCCCCCATTGCCTTGATAAGTTTTAGGCTTTCATTAGAGTACAATTAACAGCAGATGGCATGAAGAATTTTATAAGTTATTTCCTCAATATTTTCACTTTTGTTGACAATTGAAAGTTTCATCCAATCAATAAAAGATTGCAATATTTGATAGATGAATCAAAACTGGATGGAGTTGTTAATGGGTAGAGTTAAAATTGGGCGGTTTGAATTAAGGTAAATTTATGGTTGAGTTTACGCTCTAATGCTCAAGTAATCCAAGTGTACGAAGATCTGGGAGTATAAATCAATTGTAAAATAGCTTGAATTGTCAACTTTTCAATACATTCTAAATTTGCAACTTGCTCAGCAAATTACCTGTGAGCAAGGATACACATAACCCCATCCACTGCAAGTCTTGAAGATCTAAATTTGACCGTGTACTTTCAAGGGGGATAGTATATTAATCAAAAACTGACCTCGTCCAAACCTAAGAGTGGCCAAAACCAAACTAAAAACACCCTGCGTCCCAACCCCTCGCCTCAGAATGGGTTCAACAATAACCACAGCATCAGTTAAGACCCACATTCTGTTACAACATGTGGAAGTGAGACAGATCATTCCACACAGGCTCGAATGGAGCGGGACAGACTGCCTGGCATGGTTCTAACATTGGCATGTGCTCAAGAATATAGCACTAATGAGCAATGCCCTGCCTCGTCTCTGTGTCAACCCATAATAATATGCTTTTTCCATGCTACAACAATTTGTCATGCTGACTTCTCTGCACCGCTAGTCAGAATTCCCATAAAATATAGTTGTCAAATTATGCAACTATGAGAACGGCAACATATAACCAACTTTGCGCCTACTTTGGTTCCTTCAACTACAAACCATAACCAGGGAGAATGATAAAAAATATCATGTTTTATCTAGGGAAAGGAAATCCAATATATTGGGTTTTATCCTAAAGACAAACATAGCAAATGACAAACATATTAATTTTCATTTTTCATTCACAAAAATCAATTATGTCTCAGAATTTACCAGCCCTCAGTTCATGGACAGCTTGGGATTGGACATAAACCAAACATCTTCTAGGAAAGATAAAAACATATACCGAGTTAAACATATTGATTTTTATAATTAATACATTCTTTAGAAACCAACGTCTCACAAAATACTAAGCATCATTTCCTTTCATTCATGCTAGAGTGGAATTTACATTCAATTGGCTCTGTATCAATCCATTCATTGTTAGTCACCACATTGAAAGACTTGGAAGCTACCTTTATCAATTAACTATATTGTGTTCCATTAAATTCCACATGGAAGTGAAACATTCTTGAGATCAAGGATAAAAATGCCCAATTACAGCTAAATAATTTGATAACAAACTGAAAAATTACCACTAATTATTTGAAAAGATAAGATTCATATCTCAACCACCAACAGAAATCCAGCTCTGAATTTCTGGTTATCTGCAAAGTCCAACAAAATAGAGAACATATAGATATTGCAAAACTAATAAAATAAAATAAAGTAAAATTTCAGCAACATCTCTTAAGTTATTTGAATTACTGCTCTGAAAATAGAACCTATCCAATCTACTAAAATCCTCAAATCACAAACCCTAAATAATTACTATTCAGTATATTTCTTAATGAAGGACAATAAAAAGAGAACTCACATGTCTTTTACTTCAAAACACAGTCCCACCTGCTGTACTTCAAAACCCATATAATGTAGCAACTGTAAGCTGATTCAACAGTTTATTAAGTTCCTACAGCACAACGCAAGACCCATAACAAGTTCAGTATTGAAAATAGATTTTATAGCCAAATACCAAAAGTAAAATGTCACCATAAATGTCAAATATCAGGATGCAAAACATAGTAAAAATCAAGATGAAATTCAACCCTAGAACCATTACAAACCATGCCCCCAACTTTTAATTTTGAAAACTCAATTTTGATCATTTGAAGAGTTTACATTTAATAAAGAAAACAACAACACATTAATGTTCCAGAAGATATTAATGTTACAGAAAAATTGCACAATTTAGGAAAGTTTTAAGATATTGTGTTCAACAAAACCTGAACAAAGATGATTTTTCTGTCATTTGTTTCCAAAACTTGGAAAATTATGATATTTTAGTTTGGTTACCAAACAGACCACAGCTGTATGCTTTCAGGAAGAAGGGAGCTGCCACCTATTGAAACACTTTCAAGTGTGTTGTGCGCCCACATTAGCTTCCCCAGAGGTGCATACTAATATTTCAGGTTAAAATTTTGTCAAATGGATGAAGACCATGTAGGGAGGATAAATCTAATCACCTAGTGATTCAACTACCAAAAGAAAACACCCTCTATTAGTTGCACTTCTATCTTTGTCTTGCTACTCCCACCAAGAAGGAATAAAGAAGATCATATACTAGCAGTAAAAAATGGATATGGGCTACTTAATATGTTTGGCAGATGCATCTTCATCCTTGCAAAAAAGATTACTTAAAGAAACACATTACGGGCTACTTAAAACATGTTTATCTTCCTTCACAACACAGCCTCATGCTTCACAAATTAATAAGGGGACAATAATGGTATGATATGCTCAACCAATGAAACAACTAAAAATATTCTCTATTATACCAAAGTAATATATCATAGCGCAGATTCAATTAGATAACTACTTTATAGGTATTAAGGTCCATGGTCAACGAAACAACTCCAGAATGAATCAACTAACAAAACAAAATTCAAGTACACAATACATTTTAATAGAGGTTTCTTAGAAAAGCAATAAGATAATTCACTTCGAGCCATTTATACATAAAAAATAAAATAAAAAAAATTATAGCAGTAACAAGTTTGTGCTAAATGGCTGTATAAGAAATGAATGTAACCAATGCATATCCTGAAACACAAACGCAAGACAACATGTACTAAGCACAAAAACCTAAAGACAAAAAATAAAAAAGTACCCTGGGACAACTCGCAACAAGCGCGGGCGTCGACGGTGATGTGAGAAGTGACGCGAGTGGCTCCGACTACGCTGTGAAGCGGCATTAGAGACTGGGAGCCCCCTAAGGTTCCAATTGTCCTTCCCAAACAAACAAACAATTACATTAAAATTCATAGGCAACTACTATAGCATCTGTGCACATAAATCCTGCAGGTACCTGAGGAGGGAGCGGCTAGACTGGAGGCGGTCGGTGTGAAGTGGTGACGAACGGCGGAGGCGAGGGAGAGATGATGGTCTGATTAACGATGATCTAGCGGGGAAGATCAATGATCTTGTTAGAGAAGAAGTGCAACGCCAAGCCATTTCCTGTGTTTGTCGTTCAACACTCAGATGACCAAAATCTGGAAAAGAGCAAGGGCGAGGGTTTAGGCAAATGAATTTAAACCCTATTCAAACGGCCCCGTTAATTCTCTCCGAGAGTCAACAACGCCTGACTTTGAGTAAGCCCAGCCGCTTTTTAACCTGGATTTAATAACTAAATGACATTTACCCTCCTAAGGTTTGGGGAATCTATCATTTTCTACCGGTGGTTCCATAAATTACAAATTCCTACCCGATTTTAAACGCTGTTAAGGTAAATTTTGCCTTAACCAAGTTTTTTTTAGGTAAACTCGGTAATTGCCTCTTCTGTGACTCGAACACAAAACTCTTGGGTGTAACTAACCCAAGTGGTTAAAGGGTTTGTCATCCAACCACAAGGGGAAGTTGCCTTGACCAAGTTTGACTAGTCAAATACCATTTTTATCCCTTATTATAATAACGAGTAAATTAATAAATAACTTTATAACCCTCAAATTAATAGAATTAGAAAAATAATCATCTTCCTTTCAAATTTATTTAAATAATATTATCTTTTTCAACCTTCCTCTTTTCTCTGACACCTAATTCTAGTTGTTGGGATCGGGATCTTTCCACCTCTCTCTCTCTCTCTCTGTCTCTCTCTTTGTGTGTGCAGCAGCCAGATCTTGAAAACTAGATCTACCTGTAGCCACCTCTTTCTCTCTCTCTTTTTCCTTATCTCTTCTTTGCCTCTTTCTTTCTTCTCTTTTCTCTTTCTCTTTCTCCTTTCCTCTTCTCCGCAATGGCCAGATTTGGCTACCGGTGGTGTTGGTGTTAGTGATGGTGATAGAGTTGGAGGTAGAAAGGAAGGGTTGGATTATGAGAATTTTTTTAGATGTGGAGGGTTATTTTAAAATTTTTCCAATTTGGGGGAGTGAGAGAGATAAGAGTTTAGTATTTTTGAATAAAAGACTGAAATACCCTTTTAATGGTTAAATTTAATGTTTGAAATTTAAAATTGGGTGAAAATTTGCAATTTATAAAACTATGGGTGGGAACGGAGGTTCACCAAACCTCTTTCCAACTTTGAATAGGCGTGGGCCCTAGCGACTTGAATTCAATAGAATTGGCTCATTAACATGTATTCCGCAAGCGACAAACCATTTTAACTTAATTTAAGATTTGATTGTATTAATTTAAATTTATGACACTTTTTTATAATTATCTTACCCATGGTTAAAACTTATGTTTAGCCTAAAAAGTCACACCGATGTCAGCTCTATCTAAGAGATAAAGTGTATTAGTTATCAAGCTCAAACCGTCTCAAAGATATTGTATAACAACTGTCTTAGCTTTATCAAAATAAAGGATCAGGATGAATGAGAGCTCTCTATGTATCAAGACAACTTGCAAAATCACTCATTACATTGACTTTAAAAGTGTATAAATGGGCACCTCTTTTCATGAAAAAGGGGCTAGGCCTATGAGAGCTAGACAAACATTTGAGCTTTATTATTTTTTCTCTGTAAACAAAATATTTCTCCATCTTTGTATGCCTTACAGGCAATATTATAGAGATAGTTAGAGAATAATATAAAAGAACAGTGGACGTAGGATTCGCTTTAAGCATCCGAACCACTTTAAAAATTATCTCCCATTTATTTACTCCATTTTCCATTCACGTGTAATTTCTAAGTCAGCTTAGTACTTTGCACGTGCGAATAGTTAGTGTCAAAATCAAGCATCAACAACTTATAAACTGGGATAATATCCTTTAAATTTATATTATATTAATGTATTAAAAGTAATTTTATGTTTACGAATTTAATATACCCTCTTTAAGTATTCTTCTTAATGTACAATAATCTTTTATAATATATATACTTAGTAGGCTTGAACTTTGATCGTTAATGATTCCATTAATGTGTCTAATCTCACCAGTCACCACCAATAGCACTTGTTATGCCTAAAAAATAAGGGCTGACGCAGGCTTATGTAAGCGAGGACCAATCAGAGTTCAAAAATGCATTGTGCTGTCTAGGCGCTGCCACGCCATCCAAGGACAGAAGGTGTAAGGCTGTCATCAACTTGGCAGGTAGAGGCCTAGCTAGTGAGTGGTTGGGAGTCACCCACTTGCCCAAGCCCTACACGATTTAAGGTTGTCTTATGTGCAACCAACCAATGGGAAGTAAGGTAGGAACTGTACGACACCTGCCCACTGGCAGACCCGTAATCATTGCCCAGAAACCTCTTACTATAATTAGAGAGCTCCCCTCTCATTTTTTAGGATTCTAATTCTGATAATATAAACACTCTCTCTCCCTCTCTTTATTTCTATTTCTCTGATAGCTACTTGCGAACTGATTGTAATCTTTCATTTATAAAAAAGACAGTGGACGTAGGATTTGCTTTAAGCATCCGAACCACTTTAAAAATCATCTTCCATTTTATTTCCTTTCATTTCCATTTCAGGTGTAATTCCTAAGTCACCTTAGCATTTTGCACATGAGAATAGTTGGTGTCAAAATCCAGCATCAATAGTTTGGTGCTAGAAGGAGGGCCCTGATTGCCCTGATTTAGCATCCGCTCTTCATCAGGAATCTCTGATCAATCAATTATGTTCACTAGCAAATGGCCCGTGGTTTCGAAACTGAGCGAGCTAGCCCCACCAAAGAGGAGGTCCCCTGGGTACAGGATGACATTTTTTCCAAAGTGCCTTTGATTCAGCATAGTATCGTGGCGAACATTCCTTCGAGCTCACAACTCGACCCAACTGTGATGGGTTACCTGGAGAGGTTCAATAATACTCTCCAAATGGTTAACCGAAGGTTAGACCATTTGGATCAGGTCGTACCACCCGAGTCTGACAAGGCGGTGCCAATGCAAAAAATGCCTGTAGGTCACGCTAAAGCACGAAAACAAGCGAAGGCCCATGCTGCGTGCACTATAACATGTAAAGGCAAGGGAAAATAGGTGGCAGATAATGGGCCGAAGGGCTCCAAGGGACCAGCAAATACTGGTCATGAAGCAAATAAAATACCTGTGGCTTTGCCCATCATGAGCTGTTCTACTCCACATCGCATGGGCACCCCTACAAGAGTGCAAGGCAGGGAAACCCCCAGCAATCGCGGGTAGGTTCTGACCACCACGGAGGTCGGGCTAACTCCCTAAAACTTTCATTGCCTTCACATGACTCTAGTCAGCGTGTATCAAGTTAGGTCGGAGCTTCTAGTGGGGCCGAGGAAGAGTCTGATCTGCGATCTTTCCTCAACCATAATCGTGAAGGTTGAACCCACATTGCGGAAAATGATCATTAGGTAGCTCTGCTGCCTCAGATTAAGGAGTTACACGAGCTCTGGATCAGCTTAGAGCTTAGCAAAATAAGCGTGGGCAGGTCGCTGAGGCGTCTCCTTTTTCTCCAGCAGTGTTAGCTATTTCTCTCTCGTCAAGGTTTAGAATGCCCAATATGCGAGTGTTCAATGGGAATTTTGATCCGTAGGATCACCTCTATGAGTTTAACGACCTCATGGAGCTTCACCAAGTTTCTAACTTGGCCAAATATCGTTTTTTGGCAGTGACCCTCACTGCCTACGCCAAGTGCTGGTTTAGATCGCTTTTGTCAGGATCTATTAACTCATGGCAGCAGATGAGCTCATTATTCTTGAGACACTTCCAGGCGAATAGGGAGTTCTCAATGCCGTTAAGCTATTTGAGCAACATACGGCAGAAGAATTAATCCTTCCAGTCCTACATTGACAGGTTCCACAAGGAGCTGCACAAGGTGGCTAACTCACCTGAAGAATCTATTCGAACTCTCATTATTACGGGAGTTTGCTCGCAGACGGACTTGTGGAAAAAGCTGTAATCTGAGGATGACATTTCCCTCACCCGCTTTTACAACCTTACGGAGAAATACCTCCGAATAGAGAATTTCGTGGTCGCTCTTAATCACCACGACCTTGGTCCTTTGACCAGTGCTCTTGACTGGGGGGGGGGGGGGGGGGTAGTAGAAGAGCTGATCGCAGATGGGCTAATGATGATCAACGGAAGGGAAAGAAGTAGTGGTTTGAACCCAAGAAATCCTATGCCCAGGTTCCTCGTCGCGATCGCGACAAGAATTAGTATACTCCTTTAAACACGTTAGTATTAGCTATTTTGGATAAGTTAGAAGAGGCTAGCCTGCTTGGAGAGTCGGCGCCCATGAACAATTCCTCTTCAGCAAGAAATATTACCTTTATCATCAGGATAATGAGCACCACACTGATGAGTGTCGGGGCTCTCAAGCAGGTAATTGAAGACCTCATCAAACAAGGGCACTTCAAGGAGTATGTTGATGGTCTGATCCTGTTCGGGAGAAGGATTAAGAGGAACAAGAGAAGAAACGCCATGGTTGTAAGGGTCTTTACTTTGAGTGGATCATCTTTGGAGGACCGCACCTCTCGAAAAATTCTTGAGGTGCCCAGAAAAAGTACGCTCGGGAAGCTCACCATGACCCCATAAGTGTGATGAGCACAACGTCGCGACCTGCTAAGGTTCACAGAGAAGAAGAGATTATATTCTTAGTGACAAGCTATTCGCAAGTATACAAAATCGTGCAAGTAATAAAGCTCGAGTAAACGAGTGTCGAATCACAAGAGAACTACCTACCAGGCACCAAACTAGTCAATTTTATTGCTATTTGATGAAACATAATTTTATGAATGAATTTAATGAAAAAGAAAACAAATTAAAAACTAAACAAAATCAGAATTTTATAAATACTTGGATATGAAGATCAATATGGCTAAACCCTAGGGCACAGATTTCACACCAATTTAATCCTATGTATTGACGATTATTGGCAACCTAATTAAGCTTATTCTAAAGGCTAAACTCCCTAATATTCCACTAACTTTCTCTTGAACAATTAGCGAATTAACCCTTAAACAACAACCCAAAATATCTCTAAGTTGGATTTAGCAGCTAAGAGATCATTAAGTTCTATGGAATTTACCAGAGCCTCATAAATCGCGGTAACCTATCTCTAGCGTTTGCTCAATCTATGGTTTTATTACCTTAGACAAATCAGGTTTCATCTCTCGATCTCAACCTAACCCATGATATCATTCAACCCTCGGATCCTTAAGAATTGAAAGCATTACGCACAATG